ATGTTTTAAAAAAAGTTTTTAAAATAGAACAAATATAAAAAAATAAAAGGGATGGGGAAAAATAGATTCACTGATTTCTGCCAGTCATGGTGTCTCTACTGTTTTTTTCCGTCTCTCATATCTTAGTGAGATGTAGTTTTTATATTTAGAAGGGAAGCGTTCACATTTTCAGTGGAGTACTATAAGTATATAAGTGGATAATATTCACACACATTTTCTATAGAGGTAAATGAACTGCACAAATAGAATAGAGAAAAAAAAAACGCTTCTCTGGATGGTTTAAACATTGATTAAGTAGAATTGTTGGTGTGGCTGTAATGCTTTACATTAAAGAGAGAACTAAATGAATGTTTACAGTGTGCTGAGAATTGAGGACAGATACAAAAAGGGTGAAAAGGTGAGAAAGGTAAAGAAAAGTGGTGATTGAAGTCTCCTCACATTGTCACACACGTGTTAGTACCACATTGCAGTGTTAAGCTTGGGGTTTGAGAGGGCAGTGTTAGTCTGAACTGTTTTATACTGAGTCAATACGAGCACTGTTTTATTTCTCTACTTTCGATTTGACTAGTTGCCTGCTCTTTTTTTTGGTTTGCGTTTTTGGCATGTGTTACTTTTAAAATGTTTAATAAAATAGGATAATATTATATATTTTTTTAATGTTCTGCAAGGGCTTGATATTTAGCCAACAAGTTTGTACTAGATCCAGATAATATCGCCAGGGTGAAAAAACTTTTTTGCTTTTGTCCTTTGATCAACTTTTTTTGGTTAAATGTGCTATATAATGACATTTGGTCATTTTTGTTTAGATTTTCTATGTCAGTGTAGCATTTTTTAAAGTACTATTCACACAATTGAAAGTGTGATCTTTTTAAACGTAAGCTAACTGCTCTAATTGAAGAACTGTGAAAGAGTCAAAAGTGGATCTTCAGGATGTTACTTCTCTAAAAATAGCAAGTTGTCTGTTTGCAGTCTTCATTATAAATCAGTTTAGTTCCACTTCTCATGGAATTTTTCAATTTTTTGCACGACTACATTTCCTAATATACAATGCTTTAACATTCTATAATATTATGCAATATTTCTAATAATATACAAAAGGTTTTCTTGAAAAAAATCAAAGTCTGGCTGCATTAAATGAGTCTGCAATCAAACTATTTCTGCATGCTCTTTTAGCACATATTACAACATTCAGCTTGATTGGGATTAGCGTGCTTTAGGTTTTTGTTACTTTCAAAATACTTAACTTTTCTTCTTTTTAAATCCACAAAAATATTAATTGAAATACATTGAGATGCATTAACTTAGAGACTGCCCTCTTTAAAATATAGTTAATTCTTGTGTATTTTGTCTTATGTGCTTATTAGGTTTCAGCCTTTAAATATGGTTTGGCTAGTATTAGCTTTTAGCTACTATTTAGCAACAGTTATGGGAATTTAGAGGGTTTGCTCGTTTTAGTTTTTAGTGTAGCTGATTTTAGTTTTTAGCTACTGTTTTGCTAGTTTTAGTTTTTAACAAGCGTTTTGCTCATTTGTGTTTTTAGCTACTATTCAGTTCATGCTGCTCTTTTCTTTTTGATTTTCACTGTTCTGCTTGTTTTAGCTTGTGTTCTGATTATTTTAGATTATATTATGCTTGCTTTAGCTTCTGTTCAGATTATTTGAACATTTATTTTGAATGTTTCAGTTTTCATTTTGCTTGTTTTATCCTCTTCAAAATTGCAGCATTCAACACTAGGCTTTCACACTGTGCTTTTACAAAGTACTTGTACATAAAATGCGGGGGGGGGGGGTTGTTTGTTTGTTTGTTTTTTGTTTTTTTGGGGGGGGGGGGGGGTGGGGGGAAATGTGTGTCATGAATTGTGTGGTTTGTGTTCTTTTTTTAGTATTTCTGTGATTTCAGTATCTTGTTTTTCTTGTGTTTCATCTTTCCAAGTATTATTTATTTAGTTGGTTTTTATTTGTTGGGTTTTTTTTGTGGTCAGGGGATTTTTGGTCAAGGTTTATGGATGTTTATCACTAATTAATGTTAAATTAATCTTGAACCATGTGTATGAGTTACCAGAAAGTTATTTTGTCTCTCAGAGAGGAGCTGATTTGATCCTGCATGTACAGCTGGAGGCGGAGGTCATCAGTGACTGTCTGTGAGGGCTGATAAGCATGTACCGTGTATAAACAATTCTTGCACACTGCCCAGGGGAGATTCTCGTGACTGGGCTCCAGTGATGTAGAGCTTTAATGGATCTGTGTAAACCTGTGAGTGAAAGTCTGCCCTTACAAGTAAAACTGGTTCAAATATCTTCTCGTGTCCTCGAGGGTGGCGTCTTTCAATAAGCAAGATGAATAGAGGATATTTTTTGTATATTTTTTTATATTGTTATGGAATTGTTTTGTACTTTTTTAAATGAATAAACTTTATACCATACCATACCATATTTTTATCCAGCATGTTTCCCTTCATGTAGTTCAGCTCCTGCCCCTCCACCTCGTTAGTTTCCCTTTAAAACTTGTCGTTTTTCTCATTTGTTGTTTGTGCATTATGTTGTAGAAGTTGTTCATGTTTGTTCCATCCGTGTCTTCCAGAGCTTTTTTCTCCCTTGTGAGTATTTGGCTGCCACATCAGCTTTTGTTTTCATTTTTTCTAATAAATTAGTTTTTCTCTTTTGAACCCCGGAGTTTTTTTGTTTTTTGAGTATCCGTCTGCACTTGGGTTCAGTACTCAACAATCATGATAATGTACAGATTTTTAAATCTCAAAAAAATCTCCAACCTCTTGCTCTACTTGGTATTTGACTTTCCTTACAGTCTTGATAATTTACATGTAATACAGCAGTTAAAATGTGCTCCAGCATGAATTTATGAGAGCCTCTGTTTTTCCTCGTTCGCCTCTCTATTCACAGATTCTCATGTTCATCCAACGAGTATTTGAGATTTCCCTTCATGTACTTTTCCTCTGTTTGTTTTGGCAAATTTGTGAAACCAGAAGCATTTCTGCATACCTAAGCTTGGTTTTGGGGTTGAAGGAACTTTCCGGAGTTTTTTTTTTTCTCTTTTATGACATTAAGTCCAGTGTTTTCCAGCACATCAAAACTCTTCGGTGGCCTTCCAGGCTGCTCTTTTTTTTTATTTATTTTTTTATACCACATTGAGGAAATTTTCATTGTAGAGATCATTTTTGCACTAGTGCTCTATATTCCTAACACTATGCAACATAACAGTGTCACATTGAGGTGTTACAGTGGGCTCTGGTAGTTTAACCACTTAAAAATACAGTAGATTCACAGATTGTGTAATGAAACAGAATATGTTGCCCACAAAGTAACTCATCTTCAGTTCACAATGATCATGAATAGGTTTCCGTGTGTGTGTGTGTGTGTGTGTTACTTATGCTCCCAAGAAATTGTACAATTATTAGAGGAAAAATGGTCCCTTTCATCAACAGCAACACCCCCCCCCCCCCCAAAAAAAAAAGTCAAAATTAGATGTCTGTAATCTTGAGGCCCTCAGGTTTGCCTTGCCATCCACAAATCAGGTTAAAGCTCTATCATGCAAAGAGGAAGCCAAAAGGGAAAGCTGTTCAGAAACATCACCTGCTCTGGGTCAAAGCCGATTCAAATGGACTGAGGTAAAGTAGAAAAATGTTATGTGGTCAGACAAATTCATTTTCATCACAAGCTTTTGTTTTCTGGGTCATGGGGGGAGCTGGAATCTGAGGCCATGGTCCTCAGTTGGAGAAGGGTGGATTTCTCTCTTCGGGTCGAGGGTGAGGTTCTGCCTCAAGTGGAGGAGTTCAAGTATATCGGGGTTTTGTTCATGAGTGAGGAAAGAATGGAGCGTGAGATTAGCAGACAAATTGGTGCAGCGTCTGCAGTATTGCGCACTCTGTTCTGGTCCGTTATGGTGAAGAGAGAGATGAGCTGTAAGGCAAAGCTTTCTGTTTACCGGTCGGTCTACATTCTTACCCTCATGGGCAATGACAGAAAGAATGAGACTGTGAATACAGGCGGTTGAAATGAGGTTCCTCTGCAGGGTAGCTGGACTCTCCCTTAGAGATGGGGTGAGAAGTTCAGTTATCTGGGAGAGACTTGGAGTAGAACTGCTGCTCCTCCACATCAAGAGGAGCCAGTTGAGGTGGTTAGAGCATCTGATAAGGATGCTCCCTGGGCATCTCCCTATGGAGGCGCTTTGGGCATGTCTGACTGGGAGGAGACCCAAGGGAAGACCCAGGACATGCTGGAGAGACTATGTCTCTCAGTTGGCTTGGGAACTTCTTGGAGTCCTCCCAGAAGAGCTGGAAGAGGTGACTGTGGAAAGAGATGTCTGGACCTCCCTTTTCAAGCTGCAGCCCCTGCGACCCGACTTTGGAACAAGCAGAAGATGGATGGATGGATGGATGGATGGATGGATGGATGGATGGATGGATGGATGGAAAGAAGGAAGAGGGAGCTGGTGCCCATCTCCAGTAGTCATTTTGTGAGAGACTGGGTACACCCCAGACAGGTCATAAGTCCATCACAAGATTACATAAAAACAAAAACCATTCATGCTCTCACTTACACCTGAGATGATTTAGTTGTCAAACATATCACAATTTGAAAATGTTTTTTTGAAAACCATGGATACTACATCTTCTGTACTAAAGAGGAGAGCCAAGCTATCAGCATACAGTTTAAAGACTGCCTCTCTTATGGTATGGGGGTTCATTAGCTGCATGGGCAGCTTACACATCAGGAAAGACACCATCTATGCAGAAATGCATTACAAGTTTTAGCATAAAAGATGCTACCATCCAGCTTTTATTTATGTTGTAGATGAACATCCCAACATTTTCAGAACTGGGATCGTACTGGGAGAGGTTTATCATCCTTATTGCAAGACTATGCCGATTATTGCCCCTCTCACTTTTAGTTTTGGTTTCATTCTTACTTGGTTCAAAGTTTATTTTGTTCCCTTTTCCTCTCTTTTCTGCCTCTTCACCACTTTCCTTTCATGTTTTCCTTCCAGGGCCCCTCTTCATCCGCCTCGAAGCTCCCATGAACAACATAACAACCTCTCTGGGTCAGACAGCCGAGCTTCTCTGCCGAGTCACCGGGAACCCTCCGCCTACGGTACGCTGGCTGAAGAACGACGCCCCTGTGGTGCAGGAGCCGAGGCGCGTCTCCTACCGGTCCATGCCATACGGCTCACGTCTCCGCATCCGAAACCTGGACACTACTGACACAGGCTACTTCCAGTGCACGGCCACCAACACCCAGGGCAGCGTCACCACAACGGGGGTGCTGTTTGTCAAGTTTGGTAAGAACAGAAAAATAGTCGAGTCTAAAACTCTCTGACATGTAAATATCACTTCTCAACTTTCTAAAGGTTTCATTTCTCACAGCTACACTCACACCAGCTGATTCTTTATTTATTTTATTTTTATTTTTTGTTAGCTGCATGCACAGAAGAAAAGATCTGGAAGTAATATAGTTTATCTTGTCATAAAAGAAAATCCCTTGTCTTCTTTTTCAGAATCACTCCCTACACTTATGCCAGGAAGGCCCACGTGAGTTGCTTTTCCTTTCTTCGTATTTCTTTCTGTCTGTTTGTACTGTGTGGGATATACAGTAGGAAGCTGAGGAAACGTTTTTGATTTGTTGAAGCTTGACAGTCGAGAACAACATGTCTGCTGCCCTTTGCAGATTTGATGCGGTCAGGAAATAATTTAGATGTGTCCTTTTCTTTTTTCTTTTTCTGATAATGTGATCATGTTTATTGTGTGTCCACATTAGGACATTGTTTTTGGCTCAAAATTGACTAAATTTGGTAAGTGCACAAAAGGGGGAACAGCAATTCTATTTCATACATAATGATTCAGTAATTTTGTTTTTCCAGCAATATGTTGTTTTATTTTTATTTATTTATTTATTTATTGCAAAGCGCTACCTTGGCCTCTTTTTCTGAACATATTTCTTAAAACAAAAAATGCTCTTTAACATTGACTGTTCTGTTACACTCTTTTTATCAGTGCAGGTCCTTGTGGCTACAATTAAAACAATACTTTACATCCCAGATCATTTATTTTTATCTCTTTAATAAACTAT